CCTACTGTATTTCTCTCTCTCTCTCTGTCTCTCCCTCCCTCTCTCTACCTATATACCTACCTACCTACTTTCTCTCTCTCCCCCTACCTATTTACTGTTATTTCTCTCTCTCTATTTTTCTCTCTCTATCTGCCAACCTACCTAACTCTCTCCCTACCTACCTACCTACTGTATTTCTCTCTCTCTCTCTGTCTCTCCCCCTCTATCTACCTATATACCTACCTACCTACTTTCTCTCTCTCCCCCTACCTATTTACTGTTATTTCTCTCTCTCTATTTTTCTCTCTCTATCTGCCAACCTACCTATCTCTCTCTCTCCCTACCTACCTACTGTATTTCTCTCTCTCTTTCTCTCTATCCATTTATCTACCTACCTACTTACCTACCTACCTACTCTCTCTCTCTCTCTCCCTACCTACCTACTGTATTTCTCTCTCTTTCTCTCCCTCTCTATCCCTCTATCTACCTACCTACTTTTTAAATAAAATTTGCCTCTTCAAATCCTGGGTGCGTCTTATACTCCGGTGCGCCTTATACTCCGAAAAATACAGTATTTATTCCTCATAACTGATCCTTTTCTGATATTTTAAGACACTAGAATAGCATTCCTTTATGTACACATTAACATGCTGATTATTTCAGGAACCAAGATATCACGCAGAAGTCATTTCCATTTATGGATTCTTCTTCGAGCTAAAAGCAGTAAAACATGATGCTTCAGCATACAGTTTTTACATGAAAGTAAGAACATTTCTATGATTCTTGAGGTTCAAAGTAATACTTGGATTTTTAACTATTGTATTACTTTTAAGTATTCTGCAATCTGTAGACAATTGTTATCTATAAACAGAAAGGTAACTTCAGCTATTTTGATTCATGTTGACGATGGAGGATGAAAATATATTCTCACATATTGAAGAATTTGCTTGGGGAACAATGGCTTATATATGCCTACCTGAAAAGAAATCATTTAAGTGCTTAGTATTGATGATTTTGCCTCTTTCTTATATACAGGTAGCCCTTGACTTACAATAGTTCATTTAGTGACTGTTTGAAATTACACCGGCACTGAAAAAAGTGACTTATGACCGTTTTTCATACTTACAATGCTTGCAGCATCCTGATGGTCACATGATCAAAATTCAGACGCTTGGCAACTGACTCATATTTATAATGGTTGCAGTATCCCAGGGTCATGTGATCCCCTTTTGCATCCAAAGTCAATAGGGAAGCCAGGTTCACTTAACAACCATGTTGTGTTAACTACTGCACTGATTCACTTAACAACTGTGGCAAGAAAGGTCATTGGATGGGTAAAATTCACTTAACAATAGCAGTAGTAACAGAAATTTCGGGCTCAGTTGTAGTGGTAGGTCAAGGACTACCAGTAATAAGTTTCATGTTAGGATTCTTTTTTTTTTTAATTTGATGAATGCTGAAGAAAGGATTGGGACAGGAAGATGCTGAAAGCCCTATGAAGCGGTATATAAGTCTAATAAATAAATAAATAAATAAATAAATAAATAAATAAATAAATAAATAAATA